GAAGATGCCTGCTTTCCTATTCCAGCTACAGAACATATCAGCCTAAAATATGACAGAAGCCAATAATTATACAGAAAAGAAATAATATTTGGGAAAGATTCAAGCATTGTCTCTTGCTATAGAATTATGCCTTGTGAACTGCTTAAACTATAGGCAGAGATAAATGTTAAGTTAATAAGAGAACAAAATGTTCAGTGATTGTTTATAACATATTGAAAGTTTAAAAGAAAGACTGGCCATAGAGTTGAGCAGAACATGTAGATTTCAGAAAAATTAGACTTTGGACGAATTATTCATTATTTGAAAATGATGATGTATGTACAGTAGGATTTACTATTTATTGTCAAAAAAGAAGAAACAAAAGGGCAATGAGAAAGAGCATGAGTCCTCTGCTAGAAAATTGGAGAGCTCCGACTCGATTGCAAATTAACTATTTCAGTTTTAATTGTTTCTGTTGCACCCTGGAAGAGTTGTTAACACAAGAGTGCCTTAGACAGCCTGCTGAAAAAGGAAATATAGAAAGGGAGAGCATTTAATTTAGTTTAAAGGCAAGTAACAGAGGACATGATTGGCAATACAGAAGGAATAATTAAGCACCAGTGAGCACAATTTTATGAAGTTTTAAGTAAAAAGGAATCCCCAAAGCAGGAAAGTAAGGAAATTCCAGCAAAGCACATTTTACACAGTATGCTACAAGTGCTACATGGAATTGAATAAGAGAAAAAATGGAGGCAAATAGGGAGGAGAAAAAAAGGGTGTAATAATGAACTAGATATAAAACTAAAGGTGCATGGGATATCATTGAAAGGTAAAGCAGAGTCTTTAATATCTGCATTTTAGGAACATGATGCTTGCTTTTTCAAGTCAGATTTCCTCTCATGGCTGCCTGGAGTGTGGACCTTGTGTCTCTCTGATAAATGTGAAAGCAGTGAGGAGTCCTGTGGCACCTTATAGACTAACTGAAGCGTAGGAGCATAAGCTTTCATGGGCAAAGACCCACTTCGTCAGATGTATGTATGCTCCTACACTTCAGTTAGTCTATAAGGTGCCACAGGACTCCTCACCGCTTTTGCAGATTCAGACTAACACGCCTACCCCTCTGATATCTGATAAATGTGAACTTCTGTTTTTCATTTGCCACTTTTTTAAAAAAAACCACTCGTAGTTGGTTTCTACTTTAGTTATTGATGATCCCTGCATGGTAATAATGTGAAGAAAATTAAAAATTCTGGCACAAGTGACCATTCAAAGCACAGACAAAAGTCAGATTTTTAAAAGAACTAATCTAAAAAAAGGAGAAAGATAAATGTACTCACTAGATATGATATATTGTTAAAATAGGAGCTGCCTAATAAGGATGCCCTCTTGTATGGGTTTCACAATAACAACAATAATAATAATGGTTAATACATTACATCTTGGAAGTGCAAAAACACATGGCTAGTAATTGGGATTTATAAAATGCAGGGCCATCATAGAATCACTAAGGGTATGTCTACACTACAGCGCTAATTCGAACTAAGCTAATTCGAACTAACGGATCCAGACTAAAAAACTAGTTCGAATTAGCGTTTTGCTAATTCGAACTAGCATGTCCACATTAAGTGGACCCTGAACTGGGGTTAAGGATAGCCGGAAGCAGTGCCAGCAGGGCATCAGATGAGGACTTAGAGCGTGGAGCTGCTGTCTCAGGCTAGCCGAGGGCTGTGCTTAAAGGGACCCGACTCCCACCCCGGACAGACAGTTCTCAGGGGTGCCCCGCTTGCAAAGCAGTCCTGGCTTGGAGTGCCCTGAGTGCCCACACTGGGCACATCACAGCACTCGGCCATCAGCCTGGCTGCACTTGCCGCAGGCTGCCATCTGGGGAGACGGGGCAATTGGGGGGCTGCAGGAGAGCTTCCCCCCCCAGAAGCCTGCAGAGCCAGCCTAGTCCTCCCCACTGGGGGCTCGTACCCCATTCCTCCCTCACCTCCTTCCACTTACCCTTCCCTAGCCCCCCTTCCTGATGTACAAAATAAAGGACACGTGTGGTCAAAAATAGAATCTCTCTTTATTGAACAAAACTGGGGAAGACTGGGAAAAGGAGGTGGGAGAGGGGAAGAGAGAGGGTGGGAGAGGGGAGGGCAAATAAAATGATCAGGGGTTTGGAACAGGTCCCATATGAAGAGAGGCTAAAGAGACTGGGACTTTTCAGTTTAGAAAAGAGGAGACTGAGGGGGGATAGGATAGAGGTCTATAAAAGCATGAGTGGGGTGGAGAGGGTGCATCAAGAAAAGTTCTTCATTAGTTCCCATAATAGAAGGACTAGAGGACACCAAAGGAAAGGAATGGGTAGCAGGCTTCAAACTAGTAACAGAAAGTTGTTCTTCACAAAGCAAAGAGTCAACCTGTGGAACTCCTTGCTGCAGGAGGCTGTGAAGGCTACAACTAGAACAGAGTTTAAAGAGAAGTGAGATAAAGTGTTGGAGGTTAGGTCCATGGAGTGGTATTAGGCAGGGGGTAGGAGTGGTGTCCCTGGCCTCTGTTTGTGGAAGGCTGGAGAGGGATGGCACGAGACAAATGGCTTGGTCCCTGTCTTCGGTCCATCCCCTCCGGGGTCCCTAGGGTTGGCTGCTGTCGGCAGACAGGCTACTGGGCTAGAAGGACCTTTGGTCTGACCCAGTACAGCCATTGTAAGCTCAGGGCTCAGGGTCGGGGGGTCTCAGTGGACCACCTTGATTTTCATGCACACCTGCTCCTGGGTGGCCAGGCTGGCAGCTCTCCTGCCCTAGACGGCCACTTTCCTGTGCCTAGTGCGGAGGTCGTGGACGAGGTCCACGATGTCCGCACTAGACCAGGAAGGTGCCCGCCTCTTGCGGTCCCGGGCAAGCTCCCGGGAGCCGCCAGCCTGGTCCCGGGAAGAAGGGGAGGGCTGGGGGGCATCGGGTGGCTGGCTCGATCCGTGCCAGGTGCAGGGTCTGCTGGCTGGGTGCTGGCAGGCTTGCACCTGGCACAGGCACCGTAGCCAGCCCGTGCCCCTTTAAGGGCTCCGGGGCCGGGAGGGGGGCATACGAGTTTCTCTGGTGTTGGCCAGAGTGGCCACCAGGGAAATCTGGGGAGGGCTAGCCTCCCACTAGTTCCAATTAAGGGGCTACACAGCCCTTTATTCGAACTAGTAAGTTTGAACTAGGCTTAGTCCTCGTAAAATGAGGTTTACCTAGTTCAAACTAAGCGCTCCGCTAGTTTGAATTAAGTTCGAACTAGCGGAGAGCTAGTGTAGCACCTGTCAAAGTTAATTCGAACTAACGTCTGTTAGTTCGAATTAACTTTGTAGTGTAGACATACCCTAAGAGCTCATATGGTATCAAATTGTGTTCATTTTTCAATTTTGGTTTTGGTTTCATGGGAGCTATATTTTGATGTTTAAAACTTTATTTAATGCATTTTACTTGAATTTTTTGGGTAGTGAAAGTGCTTTGTGCATATAACTATCATCAGATAACAACGCAAAACAAATCAAGCACTAATGAGTATCAGAAAGTTTACAGATTCTAATAACATTACAAAAAGAAATTATGGGAACTGCAAAGATAGAGAATGAACATAGAATGGAGCAGAAAAATACAAGAAATGTTTGAGTATGTAAGAAACAAGAGATCAATGAATCAGATGACAAGGGTAATGTTCTATTGACAGGAAAGGTAAAATGAGTGAAGGAAAGTAATGAATCTTTCACTCATTTCTCACAAGGCAGAATGAGAGGCCATAAACTGACAGTTACTCCCAAGGAAAAAAACATTGAAAGTGATCAAGAACATACACAGCATGTTATGAAAAATGAAAAATGTATAAAAACAAAAAGGACATCACCATCAGCAATCACTTTGTGGGGAAAAGCCAGTAAAAGTCTCACTGCGATACCACATGGGGTGTGCTACAGACCACCAGGACCCAATCTGGATATGGATAAAGACCACTTTAATGATTTTAATGAAGTAAATATTACTGGGAATTGTGTGATTATGGGATTTAATTTTCCAGATACAGACTGCAGGACAAGTTCTGCTAATAACAGTACAGCTCAGATTTTCCTGGATATGAGGGCTGACGCATTCTTCACCAAACCTAACCCCACAAATAAGATTCTGGCCCCACTAAAATTAATGACAAAATATCCACTAACTTCAATCGGGTGAGGATTTCCCCCATAAAGTTCATTAAGTAAGGGGATGAATAGATAGAAATTGTTCACAGTGCTTTGGTGAAATTGAGAATATTAAGGAGAATTCCTCACAGTAAGATCCATAAGCATGTGGACCAGTCTTACTATATGGTAGAAAACAATTCTCCACTGACCAGTAGGAGGAGAGGATGATTTACCAGCTCTTTTCTTTTTTCTAACTTCAATAATTTTAAGAAAATTGAAAAGTAGGATTGGCCCAGGGCAATCAGTTTAACCTAGAACCTTGTTGTAAACTTCTCCAGAACTTTTGACCTGGCATTAGCAAGTAACCAAATGTAGGAAGTAAAATATTTGCAATTACTGTAGTAGGTACAAATACTTTGCTATGAGTTAGAAGATTATCAAACTAATGAGACTCCTTGGCCCATCTTCATAAAAACAAGTAGGGTTTTCCAATATAGGTTGAATTTCCATGGTCCTGAAGAAGGGAGTTTGCTGGACCAGGGGAGGTCAGCCCCTCTGCTGATGGATTCTGGGCTCTCCCAAGTTCTGTCAGCAGATCGCTAGGTTCCTCTGTCTCCAGGCCACCAGGAATCAGCCTGGGGCGCCAGGGCTCTTCAACCTCAGGATCACCAAGGTTCTGCTACACTGAGGCTGCTGGGGCTCTGCAGTCAGCTGCTCCCTTCTAGAGCTTCTGGTCCAAGGACTCTGATTCGGCAACATCCGTGGTCCAGCAGGACCACGGATGTTGTTGGACCAGAGAGTTTAGGACAAGAGAGGTTCAACCTGTACAACTGAAGTCTCCAGCAGATATATACGTATACATTGTCACTCTCACCATAAGAAGTCTGTCTCCAACTTGCAACCGTCCATCTTTTTGTGCTGCGCCTCCATCAATTATCTTAGTAACATAAATGCTGTTGTCTCCAGCGATGTGTTGGTTTCCTACCCCTCCTGCAATACTGAAGCCCAGACCTGGAAAAGTAAAGAAAGAAATGGTTGTTAACAATACCATACATACTATTAAAGAAGGCAAGGGCACTATGTAGTTTCATTAACCTTTTGGATAGTTTTTTATAGTATTTACTAATATTAAATAGTATACTATGAAACTTAAGGGGGTCTGTGCATTTTTACATTGCACTGCCAATATTTCCTGGAAGATCAGTCACAGAAATAGGTAAAGAATATATTGCCACATTGAATCAAGACTAGTGGTATGGCTCAGAGTTTCCATTGCAATCTCCACCAGTACCCAGTCGGGAGAAGCTAATGATACAACTAGCAGACCAGTTCAGTAATGAATCTTGGTCATGTGTCACCTGAGGCACATTGCACATATGATAATAAGACCACCAGTAGTTCAACTAGATTGATATCTTATCTCTGACAGTGGCCAATACCACTAAGTGGAATAAATTTTAGGCTAGGCATTTAAGGAACAATGTGCCATCGGGCAAAGTTTTTTTTCCTGACCATAAGTATAGCATTTGATTATACTGTGAATCATGTGTTTTTATCTGTTGTGTTTCTTTCTGTGTACAGAAATAAATCTCTCAATATTCTTGTTGTCCCTAAAAACAGCTTAATGCCAGGGATGGAGAGAGAGAAAAGAACAAATCCCTTGTAGAATGTATAAGCTATTCAGTTATCACATCAAAAAGAACAGAATAGGTAGCGATAAAGGAAAAATGCCTCTTTGAACTTAATTCTGGTTTGCATAATTATTAGCACTCAGCCATTACAGGTGTACGAAAAATTAGACTCAGGGCCGGATTAAGGGGGGATCTAGCTGGGCAGGTGCCCGGGGCGCCAACCAATAGGGGGCACCTGATGGCAGCTGTAAGGGGTGCCATGCACCCGGGGGCCACGTGGCGCCCCTTAGAGCTGCCATCAAGCACCATGTGCCCGATTGCAGCTGTAAGGTGCGTAGCGCACCATGGGGTGGGGCCACGCATGTGTCATTCATCCACTGCCCGGGGCGCAGGAATGGCTCAAGCCAGCCCTGATTATACTGATACACCTTGACTCAATGTAACGTCCATTGAGTAACCTGTGAAATTCCTAGATGAAGAACCACACAAAATATCTCAAAATTCTGGAGTATTGTCAATAGTGCATTGTAATATGATTAGTAAATGATAATGCCAAAGTACAGCAAAATATGTAGAACAGCAAGGGAAAATAAACAGATGTCAAACTTCGCAGGCTTTACCTTTTACTTATCTTCTCTCTACTATTATTTTTTTACATTCACATATCACTGCTCTCATTAGTACTAAAATGTTATTTCCCATTTTGTGACCTGTATGACAATATATCTATGGTTTCTTTTTTCAAAAACATCTATTATAGGCTCTCCAAACAATTCATAACAGCGGTTTGCTGTTCTTAGAATCATATGTCTAATGAGAACTTCCAGCTGAACAAGCAGTTATTGACAATTGATCATAAGGTGAGATTCAGAGACACCCCAACCTTAACTACTGCTGCAACAAAGAAAATAAATGCAAATGCTATCTTAGTTGTATATCACTCATTCTATTTTCAAAATGTTTTGTATTCAATAGTCATAAAAACAAACATTTTAGTGATGACTGGAACTTGACCTGGAGAAGTACGATACAAAAAGATTTGCTCCCTGACACTTGGTAGTTTATGATTTTCACATGACTTATTGCTTGAGCAATAAAACTCATTGATGTTACTGCTAATACCAAAAGCCTTTGTCATCTGCATGAATGCAGAGATGAAGTTTTATAATGAATTAAATAAGTTGTAAAAGAAATTATGTCTCTCCTAGTATTTTTAAAAGTTGTTCTCTCTTTAGAGAAACGTGGTCTCAAATAATGTAACAGGCTAATTAATGGGGACTTGCAAAATGATAAATTAGAAAGAGAACGCTCAGGAATAATATCTGAAAACCAATGAATTTTAAATGAATGATGATAGTTTTTAATTATAAACATAAAATTAATTTAGAATTGTGGAATTTAGAATTAAAATAAAGTTGTATCTAATTTCTGAACACTTTATATTCCTGTGCTGCTGTTGAGTCAACAAGAAGGGCTTTATGATTGGGGAGGGGAACATGATTTACTGTCCTGAATCATTTTTTGTCACCAAAGAGAAACAATGAAGGAGACAAAAGGATGTCTTCTGTAAGAAAACTTCAATGGCAAAAAGGAGTTTGCCCCAAAACAACTACACTGGGGCTACTGCCTTCTTTGATGAGTTATTTATTACACACTGGATGAAAACAAATGCCTGGTAACATAAAAATCCCAGGTCTGCAGAGCATGAGACAGGTGATGTTTTCAAAGTGTCAGAGGGAGCCTGTGGAGAGAAGATGCTGCAAGGAATGCCACCAAAGAGACCCAGAGTAATAGTATCCTGCAGCCCTTTGATTGGCCAAACACTCTATGGGTGTGTCTAAACTACAGGGTTTTGTCGACAAAAGTGAACTTTTGTCGACAAAACTATACCTGCGTCTACACTCCCGCTGAGTTCTATCAACATAACATCGACAGTACTCAGCAGTTTTGTCGACGGCTGTAAACCTCATTCTACGAGGAACAATGTCTTTTGTCGACAGAGTTCTGTCAAAAGAAGGCATTACTGCATCTACGCTGTCATGTCGACAAAGCAGCTTGCGTTGTCAACAGAACTGGATGTAGTCAAGACCCTCTTTGTTGACAGAAGCTTTGTGGACAGTATCTGTCGATAAAACTTCTGTCGACAAAAGCCTGTAGTCTAGACGTACCATATGTAACCTTGGAGGATGCCCCAAATAGTTGTCTGGGCTACAACACAGACTTCAAGGCTGCTGTGACTCCAAACCTCTCCTTATCTCCTGATTTCTGATCCCAGCCGGACTTCAGCCTGACACTATCTCTAATCTCCAGTCTCCAACTCCAGCCAGACTCTAACCTTGACTCTTGCTTCCTGATTCTAGCCTGATATCTAGCACAATTACTCATGCAATAGGAAGTCCAGATTCCTGATAAAGTGAAGAACTCAGAATAGGAGAAGGCATGTCCTAAACAAAGTGGGGAATAGAACTGGGACTCCTAATGTCTCAAAAGAAGATAACCCCTTATGCCCTGTCCATGTGAGGAGGAGACAGTGGAGACCCAGTAATGGTGCTCGAACGAGGCTAATGGTGCAGAAGGTGGGGTGCTGACAAAGAGTTGTGGAACCAAGGACAGAGCCCCACTCCTTGTGGTATGGGTTATGAAAGGAAGGATGGTCTGCACTGGACATGTTATTTACAGATAATTCCCAGGTGATCAACTTAATAGAGTTTCAGTCTAGTTAAATCAAATTTTTAGTGTCCTGTATTTCTTTCTGCAATGTCAGGGACAATGATTAAATTCAAGAAAGCCAAGGTAGTGACAATATTTGTATGAAAGCAAAGCAATTCAAAATCAGTGTTTATGCCATCACTTTTTTTTTGATTGAGGATGAGGACTAGGAGGGGTTGCATAGTAACTTGGGGTTTAAAATAAATTCTGAACCAGACATAAGAGTTGGAACAAAACTGAGTTAGCAATAATGATCCATAAAACCAACTGTCAGGGAAAACAATGGCTGCAAGTCTTGGGAAAGATAGCCGGACAGACGTGACTGGACAAAATGATACACTGAGATTGTGCAACATGAGCAGTGATAGCCTGTAAATTTGGCATCCCTTACGTTCCCTCCCCCCCTTTTATGGTCTAAATTGATAACCATTTTACATCAATTCATGTCTAAAGGAAGAGATTAATGACAACCTTATAAGACCTTTGCTGGCAATTTTCTGAAAATGTAAGTTTAATTGATAATATCACAAAAACTGTTTACAGAACTGAGATCAGAAAGCAAACCCCTTATTCTTGAACACTTTTGATTCAGAAATAATTTGTGTGCAAAGTAAATGCTGTCATACAAAATGACATTCTTGAACACTTTCGATTCAGAAATAATTTGTGTGCAAAGTAAATGCTGTCATACAAAATGACTAATAATTTTAATGCATCTTCTAGTTTTGATTAAGCCAGCATTTACATTTATTTCGTATGACATGTTGCATGAATGCAAGTGTGGATGCATGTTTCAAGTGTATCACTGTGTTGGCAAGAATACAGACTTTGATCATAGATGGGTTTCATTATAAATCTTGGTTACATTGGGACCATTCTTATAGGTTGCTTATTGATGCTTTATTAACTACAGACATTTTTAGCTTGTCCCTATATAATATCGAAAATAATGGGTGTGAACAGATATATAGATCATTTGCCTTTTGGGGAGGGTATTTCATGCTGCTGTACCTCATCACAGGGGTGCCCAGACCTAGGAGGAAGTGGCTCCTTTAGCCAGTGAACAAAGGAAGGGTTTCCACGTCACAGATGGATGCCTCACTCTTTTGATGCAATCAGGTGCAGCTGAGCCCAGTTAAGCTCAGAAATGCCACATCCACCAATGGTGGAGAACTTGTTGGGGCTAACAGAGAAACAGTCCCCCAAAGAAGGGAGACATTAGCAAGATTAACAGGTAGCTTCTCCCTCTGGGAATCTCTGACACCATTGGCCAGCTGTCCACGTCACAGATGGATGCCTCACTCTTTTGATGCAATCAGGTGCAGCTGAGCCCAGTTAAGCTCAGAAATGCCACATCCACCAATGGTGGAGAACTTGTTGGGGCTAACAGAGAAACAGTCCCCCAAAGAAGGGAGACATTAGCAAGATTAACAGGTAGCTTCTCCCTCTGGGAATCTCTGACACCATTGGCCAGCTGGGGGAGAGGCCAGCATTCCCCAAAAGCTAGGGTTTAGCCAAACGCAGGGCCATGTGAAGCCTATTTCATCGCCAGTCTAACTCAAGCTAGGAATAGGAACATAGCCTGACAGATACTGCAGATCTAGTCAATCATCTTTTTATGGAGTCAGCAAGGAATTTTCTCCCATGATCAACAGGCAGAGGACCAGGGAA